ATCGAGACAGATAAACATAAAATATATGGATAAATTAGTTGAATGCACAGGTATACCCCAACTAAGTATGGGAGAGGCATGCTTCGGCACGAATGGGCCGGCTCGACCGGAGTGATACTCGGCCTCACAGAAAATCGACGTGAAACAACACTTGCGGTGTGTTTCGTTGTATGTGTGAAGTTACCGGAGGCTCAAATACCCTCCCCCCTTCCCCAATCTACCTGAATCCCCAACAACCCTTAAATTCTTAATCCCTAAAAGTCCGGTAACGCACTTGCGTAACACCTCTAGTATTCCAGTGTCCATGGGCGACGCTTATCGCTTACCATCAGATGATCTGTGTACTCGTTTACAGGCTTATTCTATAAAACATCTGTAGTGTAGTTTAAAATAACATAACAATAAAAGTATGAATAGAACTAAATTAATTAGTTTAATTAAATATTGAATCCAAAAAATACTCCCTACAGACCTACACCGTTATTTAAAATCAATAATGTTCCTTATTTTCCAGAAAGTCCATATTGTTGTTGATTTCTGTAGAGTTTGTAGAAAAGGTCCCAGAACGCCATCCTGTCGTGGAACGGCCTGGCTCGAAGAGTAAGGTCTGAGTCGAGGTTCAAATAAGGCTGGCTGGTCTTCGTGATAGGTTGCCACTTTACTGGAAGTAGGTCCGACGTTGCTGGTGTTGGATCCCTGAAGATTAAACATCGAATGGTCAAGTTTTCTAATTTAATAATACTGTAGGAAATAATCAAATCCAACAATAAATTACTGTTGTTTTTCTAAAGAAGATTCAGAAAAGATATAAACATTGTTTTAGCAAAACCGATAATACCAACAAGCAAATAAATATAACATCACGCTTTTTGTACCCAAAGGGGTAGGCAGAGGTGCATATTACGACACTCAATGCCACTGTACAATGTAACACCCACTTTTCGCTTCTTATGTTATGAGTCCCATGTAATAGGGGATGCGATACAAATAAATCTTGTCAAAACGAAAAGTAATATTTTAGCATTGAACACTAATATTTGGATCGATTCAATTTAAGTTAGTATTAGTACCACTGGATACAGCTTCAAAGATGACTTAGTTTTAAAAGATTGTATTACAGATAAGAGCAGTAAACAACAGCAAGTTGTTGAGCAGTAAACATTAATAACAATAAAATACCTTAAAGACAACAAAATACAGATTATTATCATGATGTCATTCAAGAGAAATTGATAATAAAAGCAATATCATCGTTACACGAATGACTGACATACTTTTCCTATAAATTACATGGTCAGTATGTAATATGTATAATTATCTATACTAATATTATAAAGCTGAAAAGTTTGTTTTTTTGTTTGAACGCGCTAATCTCCGAAACTATTGGTACGATTTGAAAAAAATATGTTTGTGTTGGATAGCCTATTTATGGCGGAAGGTTATAGGCTATAAAATATCACGCTACTATTAATAGGCGCCGAGTAGAGCGAGTGAAACCACGCCGAAGTAGTTAGTTAAAGATAAAAATGAACCAAAATATCTACTCACCCATACTTAGCAAAGTTAGTCCAAAGCGTCGTAAGCCTGTCAATCATAAGCTGGTCTTGTGGTGTTACTTGTTCTCCAAACAATTCAACATTATCTAATAAATATCCCAGCTCATCAGCATGGATAGCTCCTGTAGCATTCACGTTAAACAGCACCTTTAGTAGATTTCTGTTACCACTGTATGAGAAAACGTATCGATACACTGTTCTACCACCAATGTCTAAAATCCTTTCAGCCATTCTTTGCGTAGGATGGTTAAATACAAAATCTGACGCGAAATCTGTAATTTTATCAGATACATTTTTATTGGCTGCCTCATCCCCAATATAAAAGTGTCTTACGTCATTTACAGCATCCTCCCAATTGTCTCCCAAATCAAAAGCGTTTGATAGCAAGCCAAAGTCATAGTTTGCGAAAAAATCTGAATCAGCTAATCTATATTGTAATCCATATTCGTTGTTTGTGTGACCAATAATCACAGGAGTGTTGCGGACTTTAGGGGTATTTATGTTCATTGGATGATCAGTTATAAAAGACTCTACGCCATCAATTTCCTTCTCTATACATGGCAGGGTACCAGGGCTTTTAGTTGCAGTAGAATCACTTATTTTCAAATCATGAGCAACTTTAACCAGTGTATGAACATCTACAGATGCAAGATACTCTAAAGCTTCAAGTATATCTTCAGTTTCAAAATCTAAGGAATTAGCCAATTTAATTGGTATTGTTTTATCCGGTTCCATAATCAACCATGGACTTGAAGCAGGTCCACTTTGGATTATAGCTTTGTGGAACAATCGCTCATATGAAGACAGTAAATGAAGGTTTACAGACATTCCACCGGCACTTTCACCAAATACGGTTATTTGTGAATCGTCGCCTCCAAATGCTTCAATGTTCTCATTGATCCACCTCAGAGCTAGCACTTGATCTTTTAGTCCTTGATTTCCTGGTACTTCAGGGATGTCCAAACACATGAAACCGTAGGCACCCAGTCTGTAATTTATTGCTACTACAATGACGTCATTCTTCAACAAAAAGTTAGGGTTTCCTTCAGTTTGAGCACTACCAGTGATGAAAGCTCCTCCGTGTATCCATATCATTACTGGTAAGCGGTTTTGAGTGGTAGCTGCACTTGGCACATAGATGTTCATGGTGAGGCAATCGATGGTTCCAATTGCTACATCACTGGATACTTGAGGACATACATTTGACTCATATGCTTCAAAGATGTCATCGAAACCTGGATGTTGAACTGATGGCTGTAAACCAAAATATTTCTTTTTTTGTTTTTCCAAATCAACTTCAAGGTATTTTTATCGTAAAACCTTAAACAAGAACTTACCCCAAAAGGATTGTTTTTATCCACCACCGCATAAGGAACACCCAGAAACTGGGCGTATCCCTCATTAGAGCGAAGACCTCGAATAAGGCCCTTGTTGGTAGACACGAGAGGGTCTACTCGATATAATCCTTGGACCAGACCACATAATAACACCGGTAGCCCTACTGTCCACATGTCTAAGGCTTGTAACATAACTGTAGCAACTGAGACGAATTATCACTATCAGTCTACTTAAAGATAGGAAGATTTTGAGATAAAAAAAACATGTTACTCACACCTATATTTCAAAACTATTGATAAATAGTGAAGTGATAACTAATAATAACCTCAAGGTATTGGATGCAACGGAAATTCTCAGAAAGTACTAACAACAACACTCGGTTTTGTCTGTACATTCGGAAAAGAAAACGGGGTGATCGAAATAGTTTATATTCTATAAATACTTTATTTAAATTATAATCTTATAACAACTTAGTAAATGCAATAAAAATAAATAATAAAATAAGTAATTTCTGTCACAAACACTTCTTATTTTTTAGAAACTTCATATTTATGCTGATTTCTGTAGAGTTTATAGAAGAGATCCCAGAACGCCATCCTGGCGTGGAAAGGTCTGGCTTCAAAAGTGAGGTCTGAGTTGAGGTTCAAATAAGGCTGGCTGGTCTTTGTAATAGGTTGCCACTTCACTGGAAGCAGCTCCGACGTAGTCGGTGTTGGATCCCTGAAGGTGACAAAAATGTGGTTTTACTGGAAATTCCAGAGAAGAACGAGCCAGAGATTTGATTCTATGGATTTTAAAAGTTTGAAGAAATATCATAAATAAATAACAATAACCGATCAACAAACATCACTTATCACAATACATTTTTACACTAAATGATCATACAGCTAACAATTCAATGTCACCAACTTAATACACAACACTTTATCGACAAAGTACTAAGCATATCTTGTTACATTTAAAACTACATACCCATACTTAACGAAGTTGATCCAAAGCGTCGTGATTCTGTCTATCATTAGCTGGTCTTCGGGAGTAACCACTTTGCTAAATATTTCTTGATCAAAAATATATCCAAGCTCATCCCCGTGAATGGCTCCCGTAGAATTCAAGTTATACAGAACTTTAAGCCAATTTCGGCCACCACTGTATGAGAAAACGTATCGATAGATTGATTTAGCGCCAATGTCTAAGAGTCTGTCTGCCATTCTTTGCGTCGGGTGTTTAAATATAAAGTCTGAAGCAAAATCAGTAATTTCATTTGCTACATTTTCGTTAAGTTGCTCATCTCCGATATAAAAGTGCTTCACATCATTTATACCTCTAGCATCCTCCCAATCATACCCTAAATCAAAAGCGTTAGAAATGAAACTAAAATCATAGTTTGAGAAAAAATCCGAGTCAGCAAGTCCATACAGGAAAGGCATTTCGTTGCTTGCGTGTCCAATGATAACCGGAGTATTGCGGACTTTTGGGGAATTTATATTCATTGGGTAGTTTGTCATGAATGGTTTGATTCCTTCGATTGCCTTCTCAATACAAGGCACAGTACTGGGAAAATTGGTTTCAGTTAAACTAGTTATATTTAATTCGTGAGCTACTTTAACCAATGTATGAACATCCACCGACGCCAGATACTTCAGAGCTTCAAGTATATCTTCAGTTTCATAGTCTAAAGCTTTAGCCAATTCTATTGGCACAGTTTTGTTTGAATCTATTATCAACCCAGGACTAGAAGCTGGTCCACTCTGGATTATGGCTCTTTGGAACAAACTCTCATATGAAGACAACAGATGAAAGTTAACAGACATTCCACCAGCGCTTTCCCCGACTACAGTAATTTGTCCAGCGTCGCCTCCGAATGCTTCAATATTGTCATTGATCCACCTCAGAGCCAACACTTGATCTTTAAGTCCTTGATTTCCTGGAACTTCTGGGATGTCCAGACACATGAAACCATATGCACCAAGTCTATAATTTATCTTTACTACGATTACATCATGTTTCAGTAGAAAACGAGGATGTCCTTCAGTTTCAGCGCCACCATTAACAAAAGCTCCTCCATGTATTGAAACTATTACTGGTAATAGGTTTTGAGTAGTAGCAGCACTTGGTACATAGATGTTCATAGTGAGGCAATCGATTGTTCCAAACGCTAAATCATTGTACACTTGAGGACACATGTTTGTCTCGTATGCTTCGAAGATGTCATCGAAGCCGGGATGTGGGACTGATGGCTGTAATAAAAATAAACAAAAATGTAGAATATTTTCTGCTTTGAAATTCACTTAAAATTATGATATTTATATAAAAATATGCAACAACTTACCCCAAACGGATTACTTTTATCTACCACCGCATAAGGAATACCCAAGAACTCGGCATACCCCTCATTAGACTGAAGACCTCGGATAAGGCCTTTCTTTGTGGACACAAGAGGGTCCACGCGATATAATCCTTGGGCTAAACCACATAATGATACCAACAGCACCATTGACCACATGCCTATAACTTGCCACATAGTGGTAGCAACTGAGAAGATTTATTACGTCGATGAACTTAAATATAGGAAGATTGAAGATAAAAATATCATCTTACGATAAAAAATGATTCACTAGTAAAAAAACTTCAAGGTTGTAGTTTTCGCCTTTTTGGTCAGGCAGATTAACGAAATTAAAAAAGTAAGACAGCAGGCACAACTCGATGCTAGTAGCATTTTGCTAGTTTTGCCTTCTTAGGTAAGGACTTGAGACGGGGTGGTTTAGACTAAGGCCGAGAAGAGTAATTTGATAATTTTTCCTACATAAGATATAATTTGGGACGGAAAATGTGGTCTTATTTGTATTTCAGTATTAGCTTTTGCCCGCGACTTTGTCCGCGTAGAATAATGAGTTCTGGCAGAATTTAGGGTTTTAAATCAAGTTAAATTACTCTTTACCAAGGAATATTCTACGGTAGCTAATGTTGTCAGAATTGATTCAGTACCTAGTGTAGGGCTCCTCCCCCTTAGATGATAGCGTGACAATATACATATTGGCTACAGCCTACATGTAGACCCGACTTGTTAGTAATATTCTTGCAAAATTTGAAATAAATCCATGCAGTACTTTTTGATATCATCCCGGACATATACAAACAAACAGACAAATAGACAAAAATTCCAAAAGCCATGTATTTGGTTTCGGTATCGATTTTAGGTCAAGCCATTAGTATTCTTTTAAAAAAATATTCAATATACAGTTTTGACTTTTCTACGATTTTATTATATGTAGAGGTATAGATATAGATTACACATTTTGTTTCAGTAATAATAAAATTATAGTACTTAAACTACAGCTAGAAAAGCTCAATGCTTTATTTTAGTCTAAGTACATTTCAGTTCCAAATATTCTCAACTACTTATTTTCTAGAAACTTCATATTTATGCTGATTTCTGTACAGTTTATAGAAGAGATCCCAGAACGCCATCCTGCCGTGGAAAGGTCTGGCTTCAAGAGTGAGGTCTGAGTCGAGGTTCAAATAAGGCTGGCTAGTCTTCGTAATAGGCTGCCACTTCACTGGAAGCAGTTCCGACGTAGATGGTGTTGGATCCCTGAAGATGATAAGAGATGACTAGTTACAAATGAGATTACCTATACGTATATCATAAATAAACAACAATACGTTATCAGAGATCGTGAAAAGTGATATCATAAAGATAGTCAAGAGAGTAGTCAAGTCATATTGTTGTGCAATCTAAAAATAACCCATGATGTCGAATTCACGGTTTCCCGAAGTATCACTTTTCCCCTACACCACTTAATTACATTTTGTGTCTGTGATTGTCGAAACGTCGAGTTCACGCGACATGTTTACTCTTAACTGTTAACACAGCTACCAAATCATTAAATCAATACAGGAAAGTACGGATATTTGTATCTATCTATCATTCACATACATAATTAGGCGTGCTTTTGTCAATATGTCCAGTCAAATAAAAAAATAAATTAATATTAAAAATAGTAAACCGCTACGTACCCATACTTAACGAAGTTGATCCAAAGCGTTGTTAGCCTATCAATCATTAGCTGGTCTTCAGGAGCGATGTCTTTGCTAAGAATTTCATGGTCGAACAAATATCCAAGCTCATCCGCATGGGTAGCTCCCGTGGTATTCAAGTTGTATAGAATTTTTAATAAGTTTCTGCCACCACTATATGAGAAAACGTATCGGTAGATTGTTCTGGCGCCAATGTCTAAGAGTCTGTCCGCCATTCTTTGCGTCGGGTGGTTAAAAATGAAGTCTGAACCAAAATCAGTAATTTCATTTGCTACATTTTCATTAAGCTGCTCATCTCCGATATAGAAGTGCTTTACATCATTTACAGCATCCTCCCATTCATTTCTTAAATCGAAAGCGTTAGAAATGAAACTAAAATCATAATTCGAGAAAAATTCCGGGTCAGCAAGTCCATACAGGAAAGGTAGTTCGTTGTTTGTGTGTCCAATAATAATTGGGGTGTTACGGACTTTAGGAGAATTTATGTTCATTGGATAATCGGTTATAAACGCTTCGATGCCTTCGATTTCCTTCTCAATACATGGCAGAGTACTGGGAATGTTACTTTCAGTGAAGCTTGTTATTTCTAAATCGTGAGCCAGCTTAACCAATGTATGAACATCTACAGTTGCTAGATACTCCAGAGCTTCAAGTGTATCTTCAGTTTCAAAATCGAAGGCTTCAGCCAATTTTATAGGTACTGTCTTGTTTGAATCCATTATTAACCAAGGACTGGAAGCTGGTCCACTCTGGATTATGGCTCTTTGGAACAAAGTCTCATAAGAAGACAGCAGATGTAAGTTTACGGACATTCCACCAGCACTTTCGCCGAATATAGTAATTTGTCCAGCATCACCTCCGAAAGCTTCAATGTTCTCATTGATCCACCTCAGAGCTAATGCTTGATCTTTAAGGCCTTGATTGCCTGGTACTTCTGGGATGTCCAAGCACATGAAACCGTAAGCGCCAAGTCTATAATTTATAGATACTACGATGACATCATGTTTCAATAAAAGTCTAGGACTTCCTTCGGCTTCAGCGCTGCCAAAAACGAAAGCTCCTCCGTGTATCCATACCATCACTGGTAAGCGGTTTTGAGTAGTAGCAGCACTTGGGACGTAGATGTTCATAGTAAGGCAATCGATGGTCCCAATTGCTTCATTGTCAGATATTTGAGGGCAGACGTTTGTCTCGTATGCTTCGAAGATGTCATCAAATCCTGGGTGCGGTATCGACGGCTACAAATACATGAAATTATGTTATATAAATAAGGTGTTAAATAAATTTAGAAGTTATATAAATAATTGTGAACTAGTTAAAGTATACTGAGCGCTTACATGGAAGAATGTTGTCATGGATACACCAAAAATGGTATTCTACCTCTATTGTCTTTATTTATATCGTAGTTTCTTAACTGTCAAACACCAAGCGGTCACCGGTGACCGCAACCTATTGTTCTATGATTGTGTCTATAATGACGGTACTCGACGAGTTAAAAATGTTTTTTTTTTATAAATACAAATACTGAAACAACATACCCCAAAAGGATTGATTTTATCCACCACTGCATAAGGAACACCCAAAAACTTGGCGTACCCCTCATCAGATCGAAGACCTCGGATAAGGCCCTTGTTTGTAGACACGAGGGGGTCCACTCGATATAATCCTTGGACCAAACCACATAACGACACCAATAGCACCACCGACCACATGTCTAGGCGTTGCAACATGATAGCAGTGACTGAGATGACTTATCAAGTAATTTTGAAGATAGGAACATTTGAGGTAAAGTAACATCTTACTGACATCAATATCTGAAGGTTATCGATAAGCAGTGATATAATGAAGCAATAGCCAATAATAATACTAGCATCATATGACCATCTATGGCATTCTGTAAAGATTTATAAGTCTGAGATTCTTTAAGCTTCGAGTCTGAGGTTCTACAACACAAATTAGTAAAAGATTTGTCTATCGATGAAATACAAGTGAAATTAGAAGTTCAATAAGAAGTTAAACAGCTAAGGAATCGAACTCCTTGCCGGAATTCGTCTTTTCCTACATATGACTTGGGCATCTTTAGGTCCCCAGTGAACAGGTTGGTGATAGGTAGGCATGCTCCATCGTCGGCCACATCATCACTTACCACTAGGCGAGATGATGGCCAAACGTCGACCTATCAAGTATAAAAAAGTTCATAATTATATTTTTAGTTACTATTACAAAATGGTAGGTGATGATTGTGGTGTGAATAAAAATACAATTTATATATAAATTTAATTTTAGACTATATTTAGCTTAATACGGTCAGTATCATCTTGGATTACGTAAACACTAATAAAAAACATACATTACACAACTACACAATAACAATTTTTGTTTCAATTGTAACTACTAACTTGGAATACAATGTTAAACTACTGAAACCTGATTTCAGGCTTTCAGAAAAAAAACTAATCATTTGAATTTCTAAAATCTTCCTTCTGGTGCTAATTTACATAAACTTTATAGAATAAATCCCAGAAAGCCATCCTGTTGTGGAATGGTCTACTTTCAAGGTTGAGATCAGAATCCAAATTCAAGTAGGGATGAGTAGTCCTCGTAATAGGTTCCCATTTGATGGGGAGTAATCCTGACGTTGATGGCGTTGGGTCTCTGGTGAAGAAACAAATTAATAAACATTAGATACATTTTCTAAAGTGGTATTATATCACACAATTTTATTTTAACTCTTTGTCCTATCTATGTATTATATGCTAATATTAAAAACATAGCAAATCTTAAAGTATTTCGACTGCATGATCGAGATAAATTCTATAACGTCTACTTTTGCGAAACTGTACTTTGAGTACAAGGGCGACGAACCATGATATCGTTCAATAACATAATAACACAATGGTTTGTTTTGAAATCATTTCATCGTTATCTAGGTTCTAGAACATACATTCATACTATCGATATTACAATTTCACTGAATCCTATCATCCTTATATCCATTGATATGATTCTCCATTTTTTTAATTTGAGTACTTTTTTTTGCTTTATTTTGCAATATATTTTGAAATATCTGTGGCGGCCTTCAGTATACTAATTATCTCTGGTTATATCCAGATTTACAAAATCTTGCAAAAAGCCTGTTTAACTATAGGATATAATGTCCTCTAAAAAATCTTCTTACCCATACTTAGCGAAGTTAGTCCACATCGTTGTCATTCTATCAATCATAAGTTGATCCTCAGGAGCAATATCACCAGTGAGTTCACCACTATCAAACAAATATCCCAGTTCATCAGCATGCACAGCTCCAGTGCCATTCAAATTCAATCTTATCTTTATAACATTTCTCCCACCACTGTAGGAGAAAACATATCTATACACAGACTTCGCCCCAAGTTCTAAAAGCCTTTTAGCCATTCTTTCAGTTGGATGGTTAAACAAAACATCTGAAGCAAAGTTTGTTATTTCATCTTTGACTTTTTCACTAGTATCTTCATCACCAATGTAGAAATGTCTGATATCTTCTACAGCTTCATCGAATTTTTCTCCTAAATCAATAGCTGTGTTTAACACAGTAAAATCAAAGTTTCTAAAGAACTCATTGTCGGCAGTTCCATATCCCATAAACAGTTCATTGCTAGTCACACCAAGTATCACTGGAACATTTTTGAGTTTAGTCGATTCTACGTTCATAGTATATTCTGTTAAAAAGTGTTCAACGCCTTCCATTTTCTTTTCAACACATGGTACAGTCGAAGGACTGTCTTCTAAACTCATAAAAAATGTTAATTTTAAATCATGAGCTAATTTGACTAATGTGTGAACTTCTATTGTTGAAAGGAAAGCTATGGCCTCAGATACATCATCGGTGGGAAAGTTTAATGCTTCAGCTAACTTTATAGGCACACTGTTATCAGTTTCTTTCATTACCCATGGACTTACAGCAGGACCACTCTGAATAATTGCTTTTTGAAACAAAGGTTCGTAAGACGACAATAAATGTAAATTCACTGACATGCCACCAGCACTTTCCCCGAACACAGTAATTTGAGTAACGTCTCCTCCAAAAGCGTCGATGTTATCGTTAATCCACCTCAGAGCTAATACTTGGTCTTTAAGTCCTTGATTTCCAGAAACTTCTGGAATATCTAGACACATGAAGCCGTAAGCGCCAAGCCTGTAGTTGATTGTTACTACAATGACGTCATTCCTTAGTAAATAATCTGGGATGCGGACAGCATCCCCACTACCGACAATAAAGTAGCCTCCGTGTATCCATACCATCACTGGCAAGCGGTTTTTAGAGGTAGCAGCACTTGGCACATAGATGTTTAAGGTAAGACAGTCTATGGTTCCAACAACAGTATTGTAGGATACTTGAGGGCATACGTTTGATTTGTACGCTTCATAGATGTCGTTGAAACCTGGATGTGGGTTTGCCGGCTGCAAAGAAGCAGACTCTATGTAAATAAATATATCCACTGAGTGATGTCTGTCTTTCTCAGAACGAAATCAGTACTTATTTATAAACAAATCTTGGCTTTATTAACTAACATTTGGTATGAAACTATTTAAGTCAATAAATCAGTCTTACCCCAAAAGGATTGCTTTTATTCACTTCTGCATAAGGCACACCAAGAAATTGTGCGTACCCGCTATCAGTGAGAAGTCCACGAATAAGACCACTTTTAGTTGACACAAGAGGGTCCACCCGGGAAAGTCCTTGGACCAACCCACAAAACGATATCAACAATATAACTGACCACATGTCTTAGTCTTGTGACCAATCATTCGTGACTGAGATAAATTTCTCTTGACACTTGCTACATATGAGATTAAAGATAAAACTGTAGATATCATTTATGATAATAATGTAAATGAGTCTGTAACATTCATGTGTGTTATGTGGTCTGAGACAACGTTTGCGTTGTGTTTCGTCGTGTAAGTGAGGTTACGGAAGACTCAATTACCCTCCTCCCCAATCTCCCCAATCCCTAAATCCCCAACAATCCTCAAATTCCTAATCCCCAAAAGTATCGCACTTGTACCGCCTCTGGAGTTAAGGATATCTGGATCCCTGGGCAGTGCCGATTGCTTACCAGCAGGTGACCCATCTGCTCGTTTAGCGTCATATCCCATATAGAAAAGTACACATAACTACCTAAATAAAAAACATTTTGAAAAAAAACCCTTTATTTAAATAATTTTAAAATAACAAAAAAATTAAGAATAATTATTCTTGATCACATCATTTACTTTTTATAGTATGCACTATCACTTTCTGAAGACTTCTTTCTGCGGTCATTTCCGTATAATTTATAGAATATATCCCAGAAAGCCATTCTGTCATGGAAGGGTCTGCCTTCGAGTGTAAGTTCTGAGTCTAGATTGAGATAACGCTGGGTAGTCTTCGTTATTGGTGCCCATTTTACTGGAAGTAGCTCTGATGTCGTTGGGGTTGGGTCTCTGTAAACAACAGATATAATAATAAGATATTATACTAAAAGATTGTCGACATGTGTAATGTGGATTCGACTATCATTGTGCTGATAGTCGTGTCGGCCAATGGGATAAACATACCTAAAAGTCTCGACCTTCACTTTAGGAGGCTGGCGTTAGGCAAAGTAATCAAGAGCTTGATACAGAACAAATTTTTCTTTTCGGTCGTGATGTGTGTGCAATCGTGTGTTTCTAAATGCATTTACGATTGCATTTCCAGTAGTAGTATGTAGCTGTAAAGAACCTAATGCACGCTACACAGCTTACGATTGAACACACAGTTTAACTGAAGGTATGGGTGCATAACAGTGCATGCGGGTGTACGTCAAGGCTACCTCCTGTCGCCGCTTCTATTCCTGGTCGTACTTGACGGAATTATGCTTCGCATTTCAGAAGATCGGCGCCGCGGGATAGAATGGGGATTATCCAACGTCCTAGAAGACTTGGACTATGCCGACGATCTTTGCCTGCTTAGTCATACCCACGCCGACATGCAAGCAAAGCTAGACGATCTGCGTCAGGAAGCGGCAAAAACAGGCCTCAAGATCAACACACGGAAGACCAAAGATATGAGATCGGGCGTGAAGAATAATTCACCGTTGCTGATTGGCACTGAGGCAGTGGAACGCGTCCACAAGTTTACTTACCTTGGGAGCGTCGTGTCAGAAACTGGAGGGAGTGAGGAGGACATCGCCTCACGGATTGCCAAAGCCCGAGCTACTTACGCGCAGCTGAGACCTGTGTGGCAGTCACGGAAACTGACCCGAAGAATTAAGCTCAGAATCTTCGGGTCCAATGTCAAATCCGTACTGCTCTACGGGTGCGAGACGTGGAAGGTCACGAAAGACATCTCCCGCCAAATCCAAGTTTTCGTCAACCGATGCTTACGTCGCATTCTCGGTATTTTCTGGCCCGAGACCATCTCCAATGTAGACCTATTGGAGAGATGCCGCGAAACTCCGATCGACCATCAGATCAAACGTCGCAAATGGGGATGGATAGGCCATACGCTCCGAAGGGGTCCCGACCATATTTCCAAGCAAGCGCTGGATTGGAATCCCCAGGGAAAAAGGAAGCGTGGCCGCCCTCGGCAAACCTGGCGTCGTACTGTGATAGCAGAGGCGGCGAGCATCGGAATGACGTGGAGCGAGGTGAAGCGAGAAGCTCAAGATCGATCGAAATGGAGAACCTCTGTGGACGCCCTCTGCCCCATCTAGGGGACATAGGACTATAAGTCAAAAGTAAGTCATGGGTGCATAAAAAAAAATTTAATAGTTATTTTGTGGTTAAGACATTATGACAAAAGTAGTTAAAGATAACAATTCACGTAATGTAATATACGTATTAAAATGTGGTGGTGACCCAGAGGTTAGAGCCCGATTCTCATGCATAAGGGTGCGGGTTCAAAACCTATCAACAGCAAGTACTAATATGACTGTTTCCGAGATTATCCGAAGATTATCTAGATACTACTGACAAACGGTGACGGAAAACATCGTGAGGAAACCATCGTGAGGAAACCTGGGCTTATAATTTCTAATTATAAGTCTGTAATCGCCAACCCGCATTGAATAAGCGCGGTGATTAATTGCTCGCTCAATCCTTCTCCGTGTGAAAAGAGGCTGTGCAAACACAGCAGTGGGTATTTATAGGCTGTTTATGATGATGACACATATTACATGTCATTTTTCAGAGACTAATTACGCTATGTTAACTAATTTAAATTACATTAAGAATAGTCTTACCCGTATTTGGCGAAGTTGGTCCACATCATAGTCATTCTTTCAATCATAAGCTGATCTCTAGGATTGTTATCACCATTGAGTTCGTCACTATCGAACAAATATCCAAGTTCATCAGCGTGTACAGCTCCAGTGTTATTTAGTTTCAGCCTTAACTTCATTATATTCCTGTCGCCACTATACGAGAAAATATATCTAAAAACAGATTTGGCACCAAGTTTCAACAGTTTTTCTGCCATCTTTTCTGTAGGATAATTAAATAAGACATCTGAAGAGAAATTTTGTATTTCAATTTTAACTTTGTCTCCAGTATCTTCATCTCCGATATAGAAATGCCTAATATCTCCTATAGCTTCCACTAATTTATCTTTTAAATCAAGTACAGAGTTTATAATATTAAAATCGTAATGCTTAAAGAAGTCTCTTCTAGCATTGACGTAACCCATAGCCATTTCGTTACTATTTACACCTATTATGACTGGTATATTTCTAAGTTGAGACGTTTCTATATTCAGAGTATGTGCTGTTATAAAATGCTCGACGCCTTCCATTTTATTCTCAATGCACGGCAAAGTGGCAGGACTGTCTTCTAGAGTCACGTAGGAAGTCAACTTCAAATCGTAAGCCATTTTGACGAGCGTACTAGGTTGCACGGTTGCTAGGAAATTTATAGCTTCAGTTATATCATCTGTAGCAAAATCTAATGCTTTAGCCAGTTTTATGGGCACAGTGTTATCAGATTCTTGCATTACCCAAGGGCTGACTGCGGGACCACTCTGAATAATTGCTCTTTGGAAAAGACTTTCGTAAGACGACAGTAAATGAAGATTTACTGATATACCACCAGCACTTTCCCCAAATATAGTGATTTTTCTAGGGTCTCCTCCGAAAGCATCAATGTTCTCATTGATCCACCTCAAAGCTAATACTTGGTCTCTAAGTCCTTGGTTGCCAGACACTTCTGGAATATCCAGACACATGAATCCATAAATTCCAAGTCTGTAGTTAATTGATATTACGATGACATCATCTACCAATAAATATTCAGGGATACCAATGGAATCGCCACTGCCGATTACAAAATAGCCTCCGTGTATCCATACCATCACAGGCAAGCTGTTTTGAGAAGTGGCAGCGTCTGGTACGTAAATGTTTAAAGTGAGACAGTTAATGGTTCCAACTGAGACGTTGTTGGACACTTGCGGACACATATTTGACTCGTACGCTTTAAAGACATTATCGAAGCCTGGATGCGGAAAAGCCGGCTGCAAAGAAACATATAAATAAATAGTAATATATACACAAAATGAAGACTTTCTTAAATTTTTATCACACAATTAACTTGAACTTTTCCGTATAGCACACAAAATAGTCTTACCCCAAACGGATTAGATTTATCCACTTCTGCGTAGGGTATGCCGAGAAACTGCGCGTAACCTCCATTGATGCGAAGTCCACGAATTAGGCCACTTCTTGTTGAAACTAGAGGATCCACCCGGGAAAGTCCTTGGACCAACTCACTTATGGATATCAACAACACTATGGACCACATGTCTTAATCTTGTGACTGATTTTCCTTAACTGAGATGTGTTACTCGGAACTCGACCGATATGATACTAAAGATAAAGCTAGAGATCCCTCTGATAAAATAGGTATGGACAGTCACTGCTTAATTATGAGACAAATAAGAATAAACATTTTGTGGCTAAAAAATTTATTTAAATAATTGTATTATAATACACAATAAACAATAACCAATGATTATACATATTTTTAGTGGTTTAATAACAATGCCTTATAGAAATTACATTCCAGAAATTTGGTTCCATCTATGTTGGTTTCTATGCAGTTTACGGAAAATATCCCAGAAAGCCATTCTGTCATGGAAAGGTCTGGCTTCAAGAGTTAGGTCCGAATCTAGATTGAGGTAAGGCTGTGTAGTTCTGGTTATAGGTTCCCATTTAATTGGGAGTAGCTCTGAAGTTGCAGGTGTTGGGTTTCTGAAAACAAAGAGTAATATTTATTATAATAATGTCTGGCATGACAGTGCAAAGAAAAAATACACAGTTAAGAAATGCTATACGAAACTAACGAGATAAACTTTTTGGACGGACACAAGAATAATTTTATCTCTGGACGCTGATATGAAAATATTAAAAAAATATTATTTTCACCTCATAATTCAGATTTTGTCAAAATATGCAGTTACTAGATCGAAAAAACTATCAAACAATTATAAGAGATTTTGTTGTTGATTTATTTAAATTATAATTAAGAACCGACTGCCTCGTTGGCCGTGTGGTCGCAAGTGCGACTGCCGGGCAAGGGGTCTCGGGTTCGATTTCTGGGTGGGCCAACGTATAACTGGGTTTTTAAAAATCTCTCTCCGTGCGAGTACATTTCCAATGTACCCGGTATATGGCAATAGGCTAACCCATTATTGCATGGGACTCATAACATAAACAGTGAAAAGTGGACGTGTTACATTGTACAGTGGCATTAAGTGCCGAAATGTGCACCTCTGTCTACCCCTTCGGAGATAAAAGGCGTGATGTTGTGTGTAATAATTAAGAACCTAAATGAATAATTTAATTCAACGTTCAATTAAGAAGAGAAAAATAAAAACTATACCCATATTTAGCGAAATTCGTCCATAACGTTGTTATTCTATCAATCATGATCTGATCGTCAGGAGTAATATCATCAGTGAGTTCATCGCTGTCAAACAAATATCCAAGTTCATCAGCTCGAACTGCTCCTGTCGCATTCACGTTCAACCTTAACGTTATCACATTTCTATCACCACTGTAGGAGAAAATATATCTGTACACAGTTCTAGCCCCAATTTCCAAAAGTCTATCTGCCATTTTCTCAGTAGGATGGTTAAAAAATATATCTGATGCAAAGTTTGTTATTTCGACCTTTGTACTTTCACCTGCTTTGTCATCTCCTATATAGAAGTGTTTGATGTCATCCAAGACTTCTTCTAAATTATCACCCAAGTCAAATATTGTCCGAACTACATTAAGACTATAGTCCAAAAATCCCTCAACCTCATCATTAGCGTATCCCATATGCATTTCATTGGCAGAGTTGCCAAATATAACTTGTACAGTTCTTAGTTTAGTCGATCTTATGTTCATGGGATATTCTGTAATAAAATGTTCAACACCTTCAATATTCTTCTCAACACAAGGTATTGTTACTGGCGTGCTCTCCAGGGTCATAAAGTTTGTTAATTTCAGTCCATGAGCTAATTCAACTAATTTATGGGGATTAACAGATGAGAGGAAAATAAGAGCTTCCGATATATCTTCGGTAAAGAAACCTAAACCTCTTGCAAGTCTTATAGGTACTGTATTGTCAGGTTCTCCTAACACCCATGGACTTACAGCTGGACCACTTTGAATAATTGCTTTCTGGAACAAAGGTTCGTATGAAGATAATAGATGCAGATTTATTGACATGCCACCAGAACTTTCACCGAACACCGTGATTTGTGTAGGATCTCCTCCGAAAGCTTCAATATTTTCATTGATCCACCTCAGAGCTAACACTTGATCTTTCAGCCCTTGGTTTCCAGAAATTTCTGGGTGATCTAGGCACATGAAGCCAAAAACACCGAGTCTAAAATTGATTGTTACTATGATGACTTCGTGTTTTAATAGAAATTCAGGACTGCCAACGGAGTCTCCACTGCCGAGGATGAAATAACCTCCATGTATCCATACCATTACTGGTAAGCGGTGTTGAGAGGTCGCAGTGCTTGGTACGTAGACATTTAAGGTCAGGCAATCAATGGTCCCGATTGGAGAACTAAATGTCACTTGAGGACATGCATTAGACTCGTATGCTTCGAAGATTCCATCAAAGCCTGGATGAGGAACTGATGGCTGAAAACAAAACAATTACTCAATACTTTTATCTTTTACGTTCAACAAACTCCAGTACACTTGTCTGTAAGGCAATTAATCAATGTTCAGTTCATTCAAAGATAGACGTATCTGTCAGCGATAACACTGACTTCGAACTCTTTCTGTACTTACAATGACAAATACTTAGTTATTGTAAAATATCTATTAAGTACATTCTAAGACATGTAACATTTTATGACTGACACGACTTCTGAAATGTATATCTTACCCCAAAAGGATTATTCTTATCCACCTCTGCATACGGTATACCCAAGAACTTTGCGTACCCTTCACTGGACAAGAGGCCTCGTATAAGACCCCTGTTCGTTGACACTAGGGGGTCTAATCGATATTGTCCTAAGACCACACTACAAATAGAAACTAACAGTAGCACAGACAACATGTCTACGTTTTTCAACATGTTTGTAACAACTGAGATGTTTCTTCTTAAAACTTGATGTGATAGATAAAATATGCAAAGATAAAATGTTGATATTGATAAATTTTGATAATTACGTAATATAGGATCAGGTTGTCAGGTAGCAACTATGTAAACTTAGAAAGTAGATGTAACTTGGAAAGGTTACATATTGGTAGCTCCACGCCCTTATACTTGGAGGTATCCTTTTGATCACTACCACTGTAACATTCCATATTTGAATTTGACTATGAAGAAACTTCTTCCTTGTGAAACTCTGTGAGGTTACTTTTAGCGTCAAGATAAGACAGTAAACGAGCTGATGATAAGCAATGAGCACCGCCCTTGGTCACCTGGACCACCAAAGGCCGGCAGCGCATTAATAACGCCAAGTTCGTTATCGGCCTTTTAAGGATTACAAATTTGAGAATTGTTGGGGATTCAGGGATTGGGAAGATTGAGGAAGAGGAGGAGGGGTAATTGGGCTTCCGGTAACCTCATTCACACGACGAAACACAACGTAAGCATAGTTTTTTATGAGGCCGTGGTATAACTCTGGTCAAGCCGACGCTTTCGTGCCACAGCATGGCTCTCCCACACTTTATTATGACAAGAAATTATTCCTAATTATTTATTTTTCATAAAAATCTCAACTCTTAAACGTTACACATAATATCTACTAATCATTCTTGCAGCCAATTACAGATTTACAAATTTCTATTTTTTTACATTTACATTTTACCATACCTTTACATTTTACCATACCTAGGAAAGATTTTTTTTAAACGTTGCCCTACTCTAGGATTTTCTACTGTGTCGTGGGTCCGTTTACAAACATATACATTACACCCAGACCCGGAACAACAATCTGTGAAACACACAAAGAATTGTTCCGTGCGGTAATTAAACCCGCGTCACGTTGCGCGGCAGTCAGTTTCCCAACCACCGCACCAACCGTGCAGTCGTTGCATTTGCATAATATATTGTGTAAATAATTTCACTTCCATTTAATCATTTAATATGGGTATTATTATATATCAGATGATATATAATTCCTTATCTGACATGTAAATGGTAAAAAAATTTCAAGATTTTCTCTTCATCGTAATACGAATGCGGTGACACCTAATCGTGACTGATAATTTTTGTTTATGATTTGATATTAGACAAATGGAAATTTTCGGAGAATTTCTAACATTACTTTTTTTTCACTCAAATACATTCAGTTGATCTATGATTGCTTTCTATATTGTACAATAATATATACATGACGCCTTTAATCCCCGATAATGTAACACCCTTTATTCACTATATTTGTTATGAGTCCCATGTATCAGGGGGTGAGCCTATTGCCATATACCGTACACATTTCCAGACTCCGTGCTACTACTGAAAATCTCTTAAAATGAACCCAATAATACTATACCCGACCTAGGAATCGAACCCGAGACCCTAGCCCAGCAGTCGCACTTGCGACCACTCGGTCAACGAGGACAACTTAAAATGGTAAAAATTTTCTTCCTAAAATATCAGCTATTAAAACAAAAGATCAGAAAGTCATCCGGCGACCAATTAATTAACACCTTGACAAACGAATTCTAAATTAAATTCTAAATTATTATTATTATTTTCATAACAAAACAATCATCACGTAGTACTGAATTAAACTTTTGCATTGTTGTCCATAGAATGTCGTTCGACAGCAAACTTTCCACATCTAACGGATAATTTAATTGAATAGAAATTTCCTTTTGTTCTTTGCGTGAAGTCGATAAATTAATGGAGGCTATGGAGACTCGTCGCTTTAGACAAAAGCCTTTGAATTCTGCAGGTAATTCAGGGAACTTTGTTTGTTGCATTGGTTTTTTGTGCACATTTCTTTCAGTACTTTATTGAGAAAGTTTATGTGTTCATAGTAGGTACTATATGTATATTCACAATGTAATTTACGTGGTGAACTGTGTGCGATGCTTATTGTTTGTTTTGTTTGTCAAAATATATCTATGGTTTATATAACATAAGATAACATCACGCCTTTTATTCCCAAAGGGGTAGGCAGAGGTGCATATTACGACACTATTTATGTTATGAATCCCATGTAATAGGGGGTGAGCCTATTGCCATATACCGGACACAATTCCAGACCCCGTGTTATTATTGAGATTTATTTAAAAATCCCAGCAATACTTTGCCCGACCAGGGAATCGAACCCGAGACCCTTTGCCCGGCAGTCGCACTTGCGACCACTCGGTCAATGTGGCAGTCTTAAGGTTTATGGTATTAAAGTTGTCTGTGTATTGTCTATGGCCAATGCTTGTATATCTGTTTTAAGAAATAAAAAGTTATTCATTTCATTCAAGCTTCCACCCTGGTGTTTTAATTATACTTACCACAAACTACGACACAGTCTCCATTCTACTACAGAAAAGAAAATACATGCATATTATATCAAAATTAAACCTTCTGACTTTTAAAATAAAGATCAAAATTTAATAATCTCTTAGGGTGTGTGTGCCGTGAATGCGCAGCTCGCGAACCACCCGCGAGCTGCGCGCTTGCAGTCATGGCAATGATTTGGTACTCATACAAGGGTCTTATAAATAATAATTTTAAATGCACGCACGCAGCTCGCGGGTGGCTCGTGAGCGGCTCGCAAGCGGCTCGTGAACTACACATTCGCGGAGCATTCGCCAGATGTGGACACACCCTTAGAATAAACAAGAAAACATTTATCTAGAGAAAACTTCAAACATTTCAATTCCTTTTATTATATTTAACCAAAGAATAAAACGCAACCTCTAAAGAATACACAAAATATTCAGTGGAGCTTTCTACAAAATTTAATAAACCTAAACACACTCGTAGCTTCGTAGCAGCCGTAGCACTCTTGTAGCGCTACGCCGTAGCTCATAAACTAGGTACCGTCGAGAGAGCAATGCTTAAGTATTGGTACAAAATTTAAATTAATTCAGAAGATATATTATAATGTTCTTCTACGTTGAATATTTAAGATGGATGGTGAATGTATTCTTGTTCTTGTGAGACAGGTAAAATTATGAGACGACTTGCACTTGTGTCACGGTTTTACTCAAGAATTATAAAATATATTTGTACGTTTATTTACCAGATAGGACTACAGACTAAGTCAACTTAGATTCTTTGAGGAGTTATAGTAGACATCAAATATCTGACTTTACTATGGACATATAAAACTTTACAATCTGGACCTTAAAGGTTTTTATAAAAATACAAACTTTATGTTCTCAAACATCGACACCAATTTCAATTTCGACTTTATCGTTGGTATCATTGTTTGAGACCATAAAGTCTGTTTTTACAAAACTTATAAAAATTCAATTCGTTCTACCGATATTATTTTGCAAGGAAGCTTCATAGTGGCTAGTTTACTACACTACTCCAACAAACACAGACAAATATGGACTTTATTATACAAAACCGCGTAATCACAGTCACAGTCAAATGAGTGAGGGGGATCACCCCCTTTCACTCCCCGCTAATGGGATAATCACACCAAACGAGATGGTCCATTAAATATAAAATGTAAATGAAGTTTTTCGCTGTGTGCAGACATTTGGACAGCAATTTTGATTATATTGTTGCAATGGAGTGGAAATTTTATGACTTGATTTATTGAGGCTTGATGCGGACGTATTCTGTTCAGTTCTCCGTCTTTCTGATCTTATTTAAAAGTCCTTTATTCATTCTAGGATTTTCCATTGTGTTGTAGGTGCGTTTACAAACGTACACATTACATACATACCTGTAAAAACAATTGAACACTTTCCGTAGGTAATCAAAAACAAATTATTTCGACTGTTCGATACAATAAAATATTAAAAAATAAACATATTTTAATTAATTGATTTTATGACCAACTTAATTTTAATAATTTTCCAGCAAATTTTTAGGAAATGAATATCTATGCTGCTTGACGCTAAAACAACGTGACGTCACAATATACAATCTCGTACACAATGCATAAAAAACTGTCGTTTTTGACAGTTCGAAAAAAGTACTTCATCACTTTACTATTTTCTATGAAAGATATCCTATTTCTAACTTGTTTGTTATAAGTGCAGTGAGTTTCATCTGTTAATCAGGAATAGGTTGAGTGACAGTTCTTTTTTTTACCCCAAGGTGGGAAATCCTCATGGAACCCCCTCGCCTGGGGAGGACGAAAGGGACTGTCAGACTCTTACTGACTAAAACCTACCCCGGGGTCCCGTCTCCCACGTGGGTACGAGGGTGCGGGAGTCACATTCTTCCGCAGCCCCCGAACTTGTGGCGGCCTGCCTTGCCAGGCCCCACCTCAAGATGCACAGAGGAGTGAGGTGTTAGTCTCCACCGTCTCGGGTCCTTTGCAACGGGGTGACGGGGACTTCCCCAAGTCCACCGTCCCCGGACCCAATGTCGTTTTACTCCTGAGATAATAGTCTTGAGTGTCAATCAGGAATAGGTTGAGTGACAGTTAGCCCAGTATACTATCTTTTAGTTGTCATATTAAAGACAGATTTTTCCAACGCTAGATAAATTTATGAATGAGGAATAAATTTGAATATTCGACAATTATTCCATACTAAAAACTGTCATATATTCTACAGTAAGGAATTAACTGATGATTGAAAAATCGACCCTAAATCTACAGTTCTAAAGTCGATGTTGAAAAGAATAATACTAACTAATATCGGCCACAACGTCAAATTCTTCTTGTAATCAACACTGACCTAAAACGAATCGCATTTCTCCCTCAACTTATCTACAAAACTGGCGTTTCTACTTCATAAACGATGATATTTTAAACAAGCTCGTCATCAAGACTACATCAATATATCATTGTCTGTCTGACCCGCCAGCGCCGTCTAACGGGAGTTTTGCAAAAACAACACCAAACCTCATTAATCACTTGCGGCCGCCGACGGTCATCGGTGACCGGTTTTTAACGTGTTTATTAAAATTTTTGGTAAATTTTTATTAATTATTTT